AACAGTAGTCACTAATAAGTTAGGATGGCAGCTGTTGTACATCTGAAGCTAACAAATGTTATGTGACCAGAGATGACTGGCATGACATGTGGCCATAGCCTTTTTATACAGTTATGTTCTCAACTATTTTAAAAATGTCCACAAAAGTCCTTCAGAAATACTGTTCTCAAGAAGTTAATGGAAAACTGATCCTTTAATATTTACCTCACTCAGTTAGTTGCATATATTCACACGTTATCACAGAGCAATAATCTAAAGTTTAAACAGAAATAACAATAGAAATTATTCATCTATAAGTCATGTTCTCAGCACTGTGACTTGAGGCTGATTCACTTGCTTGAAAGTAGAGGGCATATATTAAATTTCCAGCAATCAATTATCATTTCAGCCTTTGTATCTGTGATCATAAATCCAGGCACATGCCCATATGGATAGACGAAGTGCAAAGACAGAACTGTCTTCTAGGCAAATTCCAAAAGCAAGTGTGAAGTTCAGTATTGAAATATCACCCCTTTTTCTGTCTTCATTCTCAAGCAGTACAGGCATTTTTAATCTAATATTTTCCCAGTCTTCATTTACCTTCATCATCTTTATATTCATAAAGCATGTTGCTACCAGTTTATGTCCATCCCAGGTACCTACACACAGAAAGACTCACTGTAAGGATTTAGAGGGTTCCAACAGAGAAGAATTTCCAAAAATGCAATTGATTTTACCTACTTATTTAATGCACAAGAAGAATAAAGCTCTCAACATGGTTCTGGTTATAAGCCAGAATTTCTTTTGCCATTAGTGTTTTGCTACATTTTTTACGTTCAATAGATTTAGGAAAGCATTTTCTAGGGAAACATTGTTACCTTTGCTTTTATTTTTATCTTACAGTACCTGAATCTTCAGTGACTAGATTAGATATTTATACTTAAAAAAAAAAGACTTGTGAATATTTTAGTATGTAATAATTCTGACACTGGGTCTGTTTCATATATTTGTTACAATTTTTATGACTGATCTTTGAAGTTAGGAGTTAACTGCTTTTCTTCCCTGATAGGAGACATACAATTGGAACGACAGACAAAGTTGCTGGCCATCTATTTCTTCCCATGATCTTAGGAAAAGTTTCAGGCATTTGTAAAGTTACTTGAGAAAGGCTTTGCCTAAAACATCATTATATAGCAGTGATGGACAGGATTAAAACAAAAAAGTTAGCATTAATACTAGGATTCATTCAAACATAAACCAGAATCTCTACCTTATTCCAATTAATTGCTGGTGGAAAAAATCAAATAGTACAAACATAACTTTAGATTGCTTTTAACAGCCTTTGTATTAGGACTATTCCTGGGATTGTACATTCACAGGTGAAAGAATACGGTCACATACGTGGGACTAGACCATTTAACAGCACAAATAACAACAGGGTTAATTATGTGGGGGGCAGAGTCCTTCCTTCAGATGATATATTCACATTCAAAAAAGAGTATTTCATAAGATCCAAACTTTCAGTTCCATTGCCTATGTAATCATTAAAATGTACAATACATCATGTG